AGTAATTTAATAATAAGAACTTAACCAATAAAGATAAATGCATTCTTAAGATATAAATTATTCAAGATTGATAAGAAATAATATAAGATTTAAATATAAGATGTTAATAGAAATATAAAGGGAAGTAATCCAATAAAGAATAATAATATGTTGATGGTATGTGAGTGAGCAAAGTTATCATTATATAATTCTTATTATGATATTTTTCTACAAGATTGCTATTATTAATATTGTTCTTCTTCTATTATAAGATATTAAACATAACATGAATAAAATAATGAAAGACAATGATAAAATATATGGAGGTTGAAATCTTAGGATTAATGAAAATAATATAGGAAAAGACACCATTTAATTTGATAAGGTAGAACAGCATATTATTATTTATGGTCTATTTCTCTCTTATATTATTAACCATCATCTATAATCTGTCACTCTTATCATTGACCCTTCATTTATTATTCTTTGTATTTCATGTCATCTATCTCTTAATATTTCTGGTAGCCATTAATCCACATATTTCATTATAAGATTGTAACCATCATTTGCATTCATATCTTCTAATAATAGATTACAGGATTTTTCACCTTCGTTTTTATTCATAGCATTCAATTATTATGATTCAATTATTAACGGACCTATCATCCACTAGCATTTTATATTATTTACTTACATTTCTTTTCATAATATTATTTCCTCTTATATTTATTATTTTATTCATTAATCGATAATTCTATAACTTAGGGACCATAGGCTCATTCTATTAATTACTTCTCTGTTTTCATTATATTTATTATTAATCACTTATGTCCCTTATCTTTTTATTATCTTATTTCCTAACGGTCAGGGGCTAGGTCGTCTTCTCAATAATCTTTTCATTACTTATTTATTATAATTCATATTCATATTCCATTATATTATTGTTAGGCATTTATGATTCATGTTGGTTTTCTTTATTATATTCATTGTATCACTCATTAATATATTATTCTCTCCTATTTTGGTCTTCTCTATCTACCTCCCATTATTTATTATCATTATAGTTCATATGTTTTATTATCTAGAATCTTATCATTAATTTCTATATTTCTTTATCTCTTATATTCAATTGAGTTCTCTTAATATTAAATGATAGTAAAAACAATAATAAATAAATTCCACAATCATTAAGTTACAGCAGGGCAGTTCTTCCACTAA